AAATATGACCAAAGATTATTACAATCAGAATTCAGTTCATCAACCTCTTAGTAAAATGAAAATTCACCCTATTTAAAAAATGTGGTCAGTTTAAACACCCAGCACCCCTCTAAAAATGATTACAATGTGTGAATCTAAACCTGTTTAGACCTATGTCAGTTTATACATCAAATAGACTCATATGTAATTATATAATACAAAACCAAGAATTCCGAACTTATATTGTTAATTTTCTTGATTAATGCTTCAATAATTAAACACACACACACACACACACACACACACACACACACACACACAACAATCCTCTGCTGAGTTATTTGCTTGCAAGGCACTTCTCACCTTGTAAAAACCGTGAAATGTGTTTGGAATAGATTTAATTAAAATTAACACATTTTGAGCTACTGTTGTGAGAAGATGACTATTTCCATCCTCCTTGCTGTTGGTCTGATGATCGTAAGAACATACAGGTCTTATTTAGAGAAGCCCTGTGCAGTGAATAGAACCTGGTTAACGCAATACAACCAATCTGGTTTGAGCCACAGAAACCTGCGTGGTGGTTTTTCAGCATTTCAGCATGCAGTACGGAATTAAAATCCTGCGGGCGAATCTTTGGCTGGAAGGAGAGTTAACTTTGTCTCATTTGTCTCTCAAACTCTCTTATCTCTCAAACTACAGCCCTGTCTTTTTTTGTTGTTCCAAATATCTCAAAAGAGACTAAGAGGAAAGTAGATGGACTTCCTGCACACCGAACATTCAGAAACTCAGCTACTGGGCATAAGTAAAACTGGGAGAAAATATCTACATGAAATATGTCAAAGAGTCAATCAACTTGACATGTACCAAGCTCATTCAGGTTCATATGGAGACACAAAAAACCAGCAGAAAAATGAACAAAGTTCATCAGTGGAATTGTTTAAAATTTTGCTTTTTAATGTACATACACATACATATGTGTTATTATTTTGGAGAGAATTCTATTTTTGAAATTAGCTTTTGAGTAGCACTATTTGTAGGACCACCAATATGATAAAAATAAGTGGTCCATAAACATTTCAAAAGCTGTATAATTTTAATTATTTGATGGCCTCCTTTAATTCTACAAAGTGCTCCAGCTTGGATGATAAATCTCACAGCTGGACACTCCCGAAGGGAAAACAATGGCCAAACCCGACTTCACCTGTCTCATTTTTAAAAACTCTGTTCAGTATTTGGCAATTTTGTCCACTGTCTTCAGGGAATGAAACAGAGAGGCTAACTGCACCGGGCATTGTGCTGGGTACTTTATGTACTTGCATGAACTTGGGGATATAAGTATGAAGGTGTATCAACAGCTCCATTTTAAGGATAAGGTGATGGGCGTACAGATCTCAAGTTGTGGCCAGAAAGCTCCTTAGGAGGCAGCAGAGGTGGAACTGAACTCCACCGGACCCACCTGCTTTCTCCTCCTCTTCCTCCAAGTATCTAGAGTACGGGCCACTCCAATTAGCCTCCATGCCCACATCTATTTCCTTCAGTGCTTACCTCTCATTTTCCTTCTGTTTCTTCCCTGGCCATTCTCCATACAGCATCACATTTCACGTCTGCCTACACATCTGATGTGATAAATAGTCCTGAGTTACTGATGAAAACATGCAGCTCTCGTGAAGTGTGAATTTCTGTCTCATCAGACTGAGGCAAAATGAACACGCTTGACCACAGATTCTTTTTTTACTTTTTACAAATCCTTCCTCTTTTTTTTTAAGTTTATTTATTTTGAGAGAGAGCGAGAGCAAGCAGGCAAGGGGCAGAGAGGGGGAGAGAGATAATCCCAAGCAGACTCTGCGCCGTCAGTGCACAGTGGGAACTGGAAATCATGACCTGAGCCAAAGTCAGATGTTCAGCTGACTGAGCCACCCAGGCGCCCCTTGACCACAGATTCTTAAAGAGGAGGCTCATCCGTTAGAGTGCAATGTTTGGCATTAGGAAACCTTCCATTCTCTCCCACCCTTCCATACCAGGGACTTCTCATTTCAGAGGCTTCCGGATGGAGACGTTTGGAATCCACCACTGAGCTCTTTGGGTGCCCATCTTAGCAAACTGAACTGTAGCTGGGGACCCGTCGTCAGTCTTTGGGAGAAAACCCTGAAGTTCAGGGTGCAGTGTCAGCAGAGGTCTCCAGGATGATAAGATACCAACAGGTGGCCTCAGCTGTTGGCCTTGACACAGTGTTGCATGACCTCAATGCTCTGCCTCTTGACATCACAAATGGCCAAGAATCAGCAGCTTCTTTCTCCTCACCTGAACTGCAGGTAGAGGCAGCATGAGATCAGTCGCTCAAAAGCCAGTTACTGAATGCAAACTTAATAAACTTGCTTTAAAAAACCCTCTTTTTATGACGCTGTATGCAATTAAGAGCTTTTCTTCCAAAGTTTAAAAAAATTATCACAGCATAATTGACATGCAATAGCCTTTTGGTTTCATGTGTATGTAATGATTAGATGTTTTCACACATTGCAAAATGCTCCACACGAGTCTAGTTATCATCTGTCACCATACAAAGCTATTAAAATACTGACTATATTCCCTATGCTGCATACTGCATTCTCATAACTTATCTCTAACGGGAAGTTTGTACCTCTTAATCCCCACCACCAAATTCATTCTAGGTTGCCAGTTGTAAACTTGTGTCTTTCAAAACATGTATTAGATTTGTGTCCTTCAGATTCCTTGCTGCTGTAGTTATAAATCAAAAGCACAAATGAAGAAATGAAAGAGGCCTAATACAGCCATAGTCAAGAACATGGTCTTTAAAATGTTTGCATATGAAATATTTTCCTAAAGCTTTGTGAATACATATTCTTCTGTCAACGAAATTAAAGAGTTTATTAAATGAGCAAATGTGGCCTGTGACTGAATTTCCCTGATGCTTCTGTGGGTCGAGTTGGTAGTAGTTCCAAGCAGATCATGAATCCCATGACTTTCTTCCCCGGAAATTAGTTTCTCAAGAAAGCCCTTTGTCGTTTTACAGGCTTCTTCACAATCACATGTGCACAACCCACGGATTGTTTGTGTGTCCATTTTAAACACACTTACCTGCCACGTTTGCCAGTCCTTGCCCCTCGTCAGGTTTATGCAGCACAAATCTTCGTGCTGGGAATGGCTCACTGCAAGCATGAGCACCTTCCTGCTCATGCTCACATTGAAGACATTTTAGACACCTCATGGTTTCAGTTCGCCAAGTCACTGAAACCCCAGCACACTGTACATACACAAGTAGCGAAGCCTAACTGAGTGAGCACCCCCATAGAGAACGTGTTTGAGTTCTTCAGTCTCAGCATTACTGACATCTTGGCCTGGAATATACTTCGTGGTAGGGCCCGCCCTGTGCATTTATAGGATGTTCAGCATCTCTGGCCTCCACCCACTAGGGGCCAGCAGCACCCCTGCTTGTCACCAGAACCAAAAAGGTCTCTGGATATTGCCCAATGTCAGTATCTGGACAAAATTGCTCCAGTGTAAAAACACTGAAGTCGACTTTCAGAACTACCGTTCACCAGGGAACTCTGAAAGCCTTCCTTAGGGTTACATCATAAAGCAGATGGCAGTCACCTCCCAAGGTCCAGCAGACAGCTGTGCGTGGACGGAGGCCGGGAACTCTGCTGTGGTCCTCGTTACGAAACTGGTTATGTCTCCAGTTGAGCCGTCAAATGACTGACTGGACGGAGGACGCCTGCTAAGCCACAATGTCCAACATCACAAAGCTCCACAACTACAGATCAGTCAGTCACCCGTTGGGTTGTTGGCTTTCAGGCACTGCTAGGCAATTTATTTTTTCTAGTAAAAACCTTTTTCAAAAATAGACAAGAATGGGTGCTTTGCTTTAAAGCAAACGGCACAAGCACTGCACCATCACCCTGTGAAGAACACTGGCAGAAACAGGCACTGGTGGGCTGAAAAGTAGACCCTGTAGGTTCCACGGTTACATGAAGACAGGTTTGAAACCATTTTTATAGTAAAAAAAAAAAAAAAGTGTCCACTCAAGCTGGAGATCAATTAAAAGAATATAATCTCACCTTTCAACCTTTCATCACAATGTTGCTATAACTTTTAGTTATAGTTTTACATGCTATATACATCTAAATACCACAGGGAGTGGGTGTTGATGGCCAGTTTTCCAGGAATAAATACCAGGGTTAAGTGAAAAGCATACTTGATAGAGGGGATGCTGTACAGACGAGATACTTTAGCCAGTGGGGCTGTGCTCCATGATCCTGTTATTTATCAGGAGAGGAAGTGCAACAAAGAACAAAACTGGTCAACTCCCTCCACAATGGAGGCTGATTGTGCTACGTAGCACCTTTCGCTTCAGGCTCAGAAGCTGAACCTGCATCAATCTGGCCTGCATCTCCCTAGAACTGAGCCCTGGTCCTTTCTAACCCACATCCTAGAATTCCTTACCCACAGTCTAGAGCCTTTCTGTGATAATTCAACTAAGGCCAGGAGGGAGGGAGGGAGGGTGTGTGTGTGTGTGTGTGTGTGTGTGTGTGTGTGTGTAACCAGCACATAAAATACACGTGCCCAGTTTCTTAACCTGCCCTACTTCCTAACAGATACATGTATGCACATGAGCATCCGTACACACAGACACTGACACCCCACACAGAAGGCCCGGAACTCAGTTCTTATGCTCCCAAGTCACAGGAAAACAAAAGATGTCTAAGTACATGTATGCACATGAGCATCCGTACACACAGACACTGACACCCCACACAGAAGGCCCGGAACTCAGTTCTTATGCTCCCAAGTCACAGGAAAACAAAAGATGTCTAAGTGTGTGATTTAGGAATAAGATAACAAGTACTTTTTTGCTGCAGGGGAATTGTAAACAGCACCAGCTAAAAAAATTAAAAGTCTTTAAAAACTGATGGCTGTTTTACAAAATACATGAAGCAGTAAACACACATTCAGAAAATGAGACTCAACTATAATACAATCAGCTAACATAAAAGAGAAATGAGTGTTTAATTGCATACAATTTATTTCATTTTACACTTTTCAAATCCACTTTGGACCCAGAACACCCCGGGGTTTTACACACTGACCCAAGTGCTCTGCTAGACGCAGTCAAGTTCAGGAGCAGCTTCCTTTCACATTCATCCATTTTTGTTTAAGAAATATAAGGAGTCTTTTTCATTATTTTTTATTTTGTAGAACATTTTTATTATAAAATCATTTAAATTACTTTGGACCCAGCATGTCCTTAGGTTTTACCCACTCATCAAACTGCTCTGCGGTGAGATAGCCAAGCTCAATGGCCGTTGCCTTTAAGGTTGATCCATTCTTGTGCGCAGTCTTCGCAATCTTTGCCGCCTTGTCATACCCTGAAGAGAAAGAAACAGGCAATGCAGGAGTCAGTAGTGAAATCTGGTTTTCTAAAGCAGAAGATAATCACTATTTACTTAATACTGAGGCTACTGATCTCTAAATAACATTTTTCATCTTAAAAATATTTAAGAGTGATCATCTTCGGAGTTATTTTTGATATAGAATAAAACCTTTACTTTTCTTAAGTAATACAGACTTCAGTATACCTCACTTTGGACAAGAGATTTGTTACTAACTGCAGTTGGCAATGTCAATAGCCTTTGGGGTCCCCTGAGTATCTCTCTGGCTGAATGCTAGTGTATAAAATTTTTATCTTTTATTTTTTTAAAGTTTATTTATTATGAGAGAGAGAGAGAGCGCGCGCGTGTGTGTGAGTGGGGGAGGGGCAGAAATAGAGAATCCCAAGCAGGCTCTGCACTGCCAGCATGGAGCCTGACATGGGGCTCAAACCCACAAACCTGAGCTGAGATTGAGAGTTGGACACTTAACCGACTGAGGCACCCGTTACTGTACACATAATGTGCAATAATTTTTAAATGATCAAAACATTATTATCACCAAAGAATAACTCAGGCATTTCTCAGGGGGGGAAGAAAAAGAAAATAATACAGCACCAAGACAGGAAAATATACATCTGAGTAGTAGAAATATGTGCTGCTTCTAACATGATGAACCAGAAGTGATGTCTGTACCACAGCATAAGCAGCTAACTGCCTGCGCCCCAGCACACAGCACCCTGCGCGGGAGCTGCAGGGACTGGCTCGGCGGGAGGCGGAGCGGGGGGGGGGGGGGGGGGGGGGGGGGGGGGGGGGGGGGGGGGGGGGGGGGGGGGGGGGGGGGGCGAGCACATGGGGAGGGACGCACTTGCCAGCTGCTTCCAGCAGCCCCTGTCTCCGTGCATCTCTACAGGCAACGGCTGGTACTCTGACCTCTTCCCAGATGTCACAAGGACGCAGTGGGAAGTTTCAGCCCAGATGGAGTCATGTACTAAGACCCAGGCGCACTGTCTACTTCAGTATTTGCTTCTGGGATTAACAAAAGAGCAGGGCAGCTCTCCAAGTTGTCTGGGCTCAACACAATTTTAAAAAGGTCAGAAAGAAAAAGCAAGAAAGATCAGAAAAGAAGAAAAATGAAACCAATGAAGGAAGAAAAACCCCTAAATACCCCCAGATCAGAGGACTATGGTCAAAGGGACAAAGCCTCCCGAGGCACAATTATTAAGCAGGTATGTAACCAGTAACCATCTATGGAACGAATTAGGGGCCATTTTATGACTCAGCTGAATTTATAAACACTAAATGTACTAAACAGAGCACTTACGGATCAGAGGAACATTGAGGAAGAATGATTATCAAATGTTCAAGGTCGGTACTGGGAACTGTACATTTATTTTCATGACGTTCGAGCCTAAGCCTTACGCTAACCATTTAGTTCTTCCCTTCAAGTCCTACAACGCCGTTCCCCCCACACCCCACCCCCCCACGCCTGCTGCATAACGAGCATGGAGCCCAGGACGTGCAGCTGCAAGGCTCATGCCGCACCAGCAGGTGAGGTTTATCCCCGCCTGGCCCTCACCTCACAGAACATGGATTCCCAGAAAGACGAATCAATCATCCGGCTTGAAGAGCACCTCTAGATTCTGTGTTTTTGGCCACAAGTTCAGAAGTACAGATGTGAGGGAACATTTCTTACATAAGCCTCTGGATCCCCTGTGTAGCTCCCTGGGTGAATGCTAAGTACAATGATTTTTAAAAAAAATTTTTTTTTTTTAAATTTATTATGAGAGAGAGAGGGTCCCAAGCAGGCCCCATGCTCAGCACAGAGCCGAATGTGGGGCTTGATCCCACGACCCTGGGATCATGACCTGGGCCGATATCAAGAGCTGGACACTTAACTGAGCCAGCCAGGCGTCCCATGTACAGTAACTTTTAAAGGATCAAAATATTACCAATCTCAACACTACACCAAAGAACAGGATACATCACACTGGCTCAGAGCTCTCTGAAGCAGTCAAATGAGCTCTCGCTTTATAAAATTGACAGTATACATGGACGCTGATGTGAAGCCAATGGTAGAAAATCTGCCTTGGAAGTCCAGCATCATGGAAGAATATTTTAAAGAGCAACATATCGTGCCAAATGACTACATCATAACTTGTTTTAAAACAGAGTCAGAGAGTATGTTAACAACCTCAGCTCAGCAGTAAGAAGGTGGGAAAAGGCTCTTAAGACCCTGCAACGTAACCAATGAATGTGTCAAAACCTACAGGTCAGAACAGTATCTTTGGTGAGGATCACTAAGGTCAGTCTGCAATTCAAGTCGGTATGTTTGAATTTACGTAATAAAATAACTAGAATTCTGGAAAAGGCTTGTTAATAGAAGAGTCACGGTTTTAGATAATATATTTGTATCTTCCCCTCTTTCCCTGAAAGCAATGAATATTTAATCCTTTTTCTTCTGTTCTTATTGGTAGCTTTCCACTTCTGAACTGAATAAAACAAGAAAATCAAAGTGTAGTCGAGCCTCTAGAGAAGGCAGAAAAATGAATTCACCCCACAGTGCTCATCCGCCAGTGCCACCTAGTGACATTACCATGAGGGGACCTTCCTCAGGCACATCTGAGAAAGCATCTCAACTCCATTAAGATTCATGGAAGTTTGAACTTCTGAGTTTACCACACTTCAAATGAAAGGAAGCATAACAGACAGCACACTGACAGTAAACAGTGTCTTTCAATGCAATTTCAAATATTTTATGAGATTTTACTGAAACAATGCCCAAAAGGAATTTGCTGTCCACCCTGATCCAATAATCTCATAAAAAATACTTTAGCGTTTAAATTTTGTACTCAAAATGGCATTCGTATCCCTTAAACCTTACCTATATGAGGATTAAGAGCTGTCACCAACATTAAGGATTCGTTCATCAGCTTGTTGATCCTCTCTGTGTTGGCCTGGATTCCCACGATGCAGTTTTCTGTGAAGGAAACGCAGGCGTCCCCCAGCAGCCTGGCTGAGTGCAACACATTTTTAATCTATGAGGGGAGGCGATGAAGGGGAATGGAGGGGGGGAGAGAGAGAGACTTATTAATCTTTTTTTGTTCAGCAGCATATAGTATTTCGTGGTTCATAAATGAATATATAATTTGATAAACACACAGCACTCCTACATCTCGTAAAGCACTACATCCACGGACCGCTTGAGGACACTGAAATCTACAGCCATAAATACAAATAAACTGCAACACAAGAGACCCTGAACTATGATAAAACACGGGTATGAAATGTTAGCACAGAGAAAGAAAATTTAATTCCAGTTGGTAGGAACTGGAGGGGACTCAGTTTGACGGAGGGGACTCAGACGACCAGAGATGGAAAAAGAATCTTCCGGAAGGGAAGCGAAGATGCAAATGTTAGAATGTTCAGCCTGCAGTGGGTGAGATGAGGGCTTCCCAGGTCTTAATGGCCACCACACTTTTCATGCTTAACAAAACAAATATTCCTCAGGCACTTTAAAACAAACATTCACACAACATTTTAAAACCAACATAAAATCAGTTAGTGTTTTAGTTTTAGTATGTTTTTCCTTTTTGGTAACATTTCCAATATGTATAAAGTTATATTCACATCCTACTCTTTTGGTCTAAAACCTCAGGATCTGAAAACTATACTCCCAACACTGGATTCTACTAGAAGGCACATAACTTCAAGGTTTAATTTGATACTAATGACTTTAATGTAAAGCAAATGTTGATTACCTTGATGTATTTTCTATTAAAGACAAAAAAATAGATTTTTCTTTTTTAAAATAAAGATTAGCTAGGGGCGCCTGGGTGGCTTAGTCGGTTAAGTGTCCGACTTTCGCTTAGGTCATGATCTCGCGGTTCGTGGGTTCGGGCCCCGCGTCGGGCTCTGTGCTGACTGCCAGCTCAGAGCCTGGAGCCTGTTTCAGTCTGTGACTCCCTCTCTCTCTGACCCTCCCCTGCTCACGCTGTCTCTCTCTCTCTCTCTCCTAGAAATAAAAACATTAAAAAATTTTTTTAAAAAAATAAAATAAAGATTAGCAAGACATTTGCTGCACACCTACATTTGCCAGGCCCATCATATTGTTTGGAATTCAACAGGAAAGCAAAACCTTACATGTGTGAGTTCTGCTTTGCCCTTTTATTTCTCACAAGAATGTACATGCTCTGAGGACAAAAAAAATATCGTTTTCCTTTTTATTCTATCATTAGTACTTAGTACAGTGCCTGATCTACATTTGACAAATACAGTGAATGAATATTCTTAATATTTGTCAGTTGCATGTTCTTATCAAATTAAAACCAGACTTCATACCAGACACAAACTGGAAATGAGCCCCTAATATATTTTAGATATAACAGTTTACACTAGTAAAGGACTCCACATGAAGACAGCCCTGCTATCCGAAGCTGAGGAAAATGGATGAAAGATGAAGTCAGCTTGCTCCAGCTCCATGAAGACACACATTTTTAGAACCGTTTTTAGACACAAGAATGTTTTCAAGATCTGTGGAGGAGGCATACAGATAAAGGGAAACCAGAGGGGGACAGGATGGGCATGGGATGAGGGTGTCATGGCCAACGTCAGAGGTCAGCAAGTCTATGGGCTTGTGGGGGCTCCACATGACCAGGGGAACAGTTGAAGCACAAGTTGGGGGGACGGAAGCCAGAAGTAATGAATCAGCCTGAAAGTGAATGTGGGTTATTCCTCTAAAAGACTGAACTTGAGAGAAAAAGAAAGCAGCAGTGTGAGGAGAAGGCAGGTGAGGGACAGCCTGAGACTTGACTTATTTCTAGTCACTGGCATCCTCACTGGTGAGGGATAAGGAAGAAACCCACACCCTATTTCCAGACTTTTTCTTCCTATTAAATAAGGCAAACCATCAAATTACTTGAGCTAAAAGTCACCTAATTACTTGAGGTAAAGTCACCTGAAAGTCTTCAAATTACTTGAGCTAAAAGTCCTCTAACAGGACTCCCCACACTCCCACTAGGCTTCCTTCCAGGCTTAATCGGCTAACATTAACATATGCTTGACTTCCATCATCCTAGTACCTAGTGTGAAGTCTCTAGAAATCTTTATGAAAGAAAAAACAATTTTGGTCAAAAATTAAAAATCAGATTTCAAGCGTACCATCATTGGCTTGAAGACATTCAACTCGAAATGCCCATTGCTGCCTCCAACGGTCACAGCGACGTGGTTCCCCATGACCTGGGCGGCAACCATGGTGAGCGCTTCACACTGCGTAGGGTTCACCTTGCCTTCAAGAAAGCCACAGGGAGACTCATATCAAACACGCTCGTGGCCTCCAGGATCAGCTCAGGTTAGGTCTTACGTCAAATCAGCAGGAAGAAAACGGGACTCCATTAAATAAAGTCAGACCTAGGATAAAGCCAGTCTCCAACCATCAGTGCTGACTGATGAAGCAAACCAACCAGATGAGGCGGGACAGGCTGCCACAAACTGCGAACGGTTCAACGGCTAATGCGTGAGGAGCTCGGCAAGTGCACACTGAATGCAGCCTGCTCCATCTTCTCGGCTTCCATGCACAGTAGACAGGTATGGAGCCAGGCACTGGGCGTGCACAGGGGTGAGAAAGGCGCAGCCCCTGCGCTCCAGGACCTGGAGGCCAAGGAGAGCGAACCGGCAGCGGCAAGACCTGAGGGGTAAAGGCAGAGAGGCAGGCTGCTACGGGAACGCTTAGCACCTCGCCGATGCTTGGAGACTTCTCAGAGGAAGCAGACATCAAGCCGGAATGTTCCTATTCTTCTCGAGTCCCCAGAGGCCCGGCACCTGGGAGCACCCTCTGACGAGCTCAGGTGTGAGCCTGACATCCCAGGTTCTGCTGACCAGTACAAGGCGACACACTGGGAGGTTATTTCCTTCTCTGTGGAGCTGGGTTTCTCTTTCCTAGAATCACTTGCATTTGCAGTCAACTAAACTCACATAACAGGAATTATTTTAAAAACAGATCTCTTCTCATCTTATACACATGCACAGATTTGAAAGAATCAATACTCAGGTCTTTTTTACTATTAGAAGCCACCTTGTCAGCTTTAGTCCAACCTACAGAGGCCTCAAATCTGTCACCTGGCGTACTGCTGTTTCCTTACCTGCCCATGTGACCCGCATGTATTCTCTGCCTTCACCCTCAGTCACCAGGAAGTGGTGAAGCGGCAGAGCCCTTCAGCCTGCTACTGAGACATACCACCAGTGTGACGTCAACTCATTACTGTCACTTAAGTGTCACTGTTCACCCACTACATTCGTCTAATAGGGCTGCCCACACTTCCCCTCGAGATTCAGTGAATGTCAAATGAATGTGTCAAATGCCTTGCTAGAATCCAGACATGCAAAGCCTGTGTCACTTCCCTTATCGAACAGTCCAAAACCCCAAACAGAAAATGAAATAATTGGCAACTGGAATAATTCATTTTTATTCAACCCAGGCTGACCACTTTCACAGCTGGTTTCAGAATTCTCCTGGCTTTGGACTGTGAAAGACAGAACTGTCACACATTCTCTACTGCAGGAATCCACACACATGCTACTAAAATTCTCTTTTCCTATAATGTTGGGTGATGTCCCCAATTCTGGTCAAAGGTGGCCCATAAAGACATTCCGAAATAACTGTGCCACACACGTCCCTACCTATGTTTGGAACACACTTAACACAAGCAGACACGCCCTGTTCATGAGAATGCCTGGGTCCCTGTCAGGTTCTGGCACTAATATTTAGCAGCGAGTCATTACCTGGCATGATACTGCTTCCTGGCTCATTTTCAGGCAAGATCAGCTCGCCCAGACCTGAGCGAGGACCAGAACCCAGAAAACGAATGTCGTTTGCTATCTTCATCAGACTGCAGGCAGTAGTGTTCATGGCTCCACTGAGTTCAACCAAAGCATCATGAGCAGCTAGAGCTTCAAACTTATTTGGAGCTGTGACAAAAGGCAATCCTGAAGAAAAAAATAACTGTGAGTTATCGTGTAAAATTAAATATTGTTTTCTAATTTCAGCAAGGTAAACAGAAAGTTCCAGGATATGAAAAGCAAAAACAGAATAAATATATTTACCAATGAAATAAATACGTCTCAACCATCCATTGATTCTGCCTGCTTTGAAAATGGGTATTTGGGGTGAAGATGGCAGGGCCCTAAGCTTGTGTCCTCCCTCAAACACGGCTGCATAGTTATCAAACCCTTCTGAACACCCAACACATCGATCTGAGGTCTGAGAGAATCAAAACTGCAAGTTTACAAGAAGAAAAGCAACCACCTTTTGGCAGGCAGGACGTGCACGGCAGACAGAACTGCGGGATGGCAGCAGAGAGGGGCCCTGCTTACAGAGGCCTGCGGCGGAGCGAAAAACCCAAACTCGTACAAGTCCACTGCTACGGGGGAAAGAGACAAGAAAAGAATCCTGAATGCAGCAAGGAGAAACAAGGTCCTTAACCTACAAGGGAGGACAGATCAGGTTCACAGCAGACCTGTCCACAGACACCTGACAGCCCAGAAGGGAGTGGCAGGATATATTTAACGTGCCGAATGGGAAAAATATGCAGCCAAGAATTCTTTATCCAGGAAGGCTGTCATTCAGAATAGAGGGAGAGAGAAAGAGTTTCCCAGACAAACAAAACCTCAAGGAGTTCATGACCTCTAAACTAGCCCTGCAAGAAGTTTTAAGGTGGACTCTTTGAGTGGAGAAAAAAAGACCACAAGTAACAAAGACTAAAAAGGATCAAAGAACATCACTACAAATACCAGCTCAGGTAACACAATGGCACTAAATTCATACCTTTCAATAATCGCTCTGAATATAAATAGACTAAATGCTCCGATCAAAAGACACAGGGTGTCAGAACGGAGTAAAACACCAAGATCTATCCATATGCGGCCAACGAGCCACTCACTATTGACCTAAAGACACCTGCACTGAAAGTGAGGGAATGGAGAACCATCTCTCATGTTAATGGACACCGAAACAAAGCCAGAGTAGCCATACTTGTATCAGACAAACTAGACCTAAAAACTAGATTTTAAAATGACTGTAACAAGAGATTGAAGGGCATTATATATCGTAATTAAGGGGTCTATCTATCAAGATCTAATTGCAAATATTTATGCCTCCAATTTAGAAAACCCAAATATATAAATCAATTAATAATAAACATAAAGGAACTTATTGATAACGATACAGTAACAATAAGGGACTTTAATGTCCCACTTACAGCAATGGACAGATCATCTAAGCAGTAAATTAATAAGGAAACAATGGCTTTGAATGACACACTGGACAGGTTAACCAGGAAATTAAAGAATTCATGGAAGCAAATGAAAATGAAGACTACAGCGGAAGCAAATGAAAATGAAAAGACAACAGTCTAAAACCTTTGGGATACAGCAAAGGCAATCATAAAGAAAGTATGCAATACAGGCCTACGTCAAGAAGGAAAGTCTCAAATACACCACCTTACATACAAATGGTGCCAGTAAGGAAATAGAAAATAAAGCCCGAAGTCAGCAGAAGAAAGGAAACAAATATTAGAGCAGAAATAAACAATATAGAAACACAAAAACAGAACAGATCAATGAAACTAAGATCTGGTTCTTCCAAAGAATTAATAAAACTGATAAACCTCCAGCCAGACTTATCAAAAAGAAGAGAGAAAGGACCCAAATAGATACAATTGTGAATAAAAGAGAAATCACCACGACCACCACAGAAATATAAGTTAGAGAATACTATGAAGAATTATATGCCAATCAACTGGGCAATCTGGAAGAAATGGACAAATTCCTAGAAACTTACAAGCAACTAAAACAAGAAGAAACAGAAAATTTGAATAGACCGATAGCTAGCAAAGAATCTGAATCAGTAATTTAAAATCTCCCAACAAACAAGAGTCCAGGGCCAGATGGCTTCCCAGCGGAATTCTAGCAGCATTTAAAGAAAAGTTAATACCTATTTTTCTTAAACTGTTCCAAAAACTAGAAATGGAAGGAAAATTTCCAAACTCCTTTTATGAGGCCAGTATTACCTTGATTCCAAAACCAAAGACCCCACTAAAAAGGGGAATCACAGGCCAATGGCCCTGATAAACACAGATGCAAAAATTCTCAATAAAATACTAGCATATTGAATTGAACAGTACATTAAAGGAATTATTCACATGATCAAGTGGGATTTATTCCCGGGCTGCAGGGTTGGCTCAATATTCACAAATCAATCAATGTGATTCACCATACTATGAAAAGAACCATGGAACGTTTTCAGTAGATGCAGAAAAAGCACTTGACAAAATAAAGCATATTCTTGAAAAACTCCTCAATAAAGTAGGGATAAGATGGCACATACCACAAGATCATAAGGCCATCTACAAAAGACCCACAGCTAATATCATCCTCAGTCGGGAAAGACTAACAGCCTTTCCCCTACAATCAGGAAGAAGACAAGGATGTTCACTCTCACCATTTCTATTTAACAAAGTGCTGGAAGTCTTAGTTTTAGCAATCAAACAACAAAAAGTAATAAGGGCATACAAACTGGAAAGGAAGAAGTCAAACTTTCACTATTTGCAGACATTATGAAATCAGTTGCATTTCTGGGCGGCTGGGTGGCTCAGTTAGCTAAGTGGCCGACATCAGTGCAGGTCATGATCTCACAGTTCGTGGGTTTGAGCCCCACGCTGGACTCTGTGCTGACAGCTCAGAGCCTGGAGCCTGCTTCGGATTCTGTGTCTCCCTCTCTCTCAAAAATAAACAAACATTAAAAATATTAAAAAAAGAAAAAGAAAAAGAAATCAGTTGCACTTCTATACGCCAAACATGATGCAGCAGGAAAAGACATCAAGGAATCAATACCATTTGCAATTGCGCCAAAAAACAATAAGATACCTAGGAATAAAACTAAAGAAGTAAAAGATCTATACTCCAAAAACTATGAAACACTTATGAAAGAAACTCAAGTGGACACAAAGAAATAGAAAAGTATTGGGGCGCCTGGGTGGCTTAGTCGGTTAAGCGTCCGACTTTCGCTTAGGTCACGATCTCGCGGTTCGTGGGTTCGAGCCCCGCGTCGGGCTCTGTGCTGACTGCCAGCTCAGAGCCTGGAGCCTGTTTCAGTCTGTGACTCCCTCTCTCTCTGACCCTCCCCTGCTCACACTGTCTCTCTCTCTCTCTCCTAGAAATAAATAAAAAACATTAAAAAAATAAAAAATAAAAAATAAATAAATAAATAAATAAAAATTTTAAAAAAAAAAAAGAAATAGAAAAGTATTCCCTTCTCATGGACTGGAAGAACATCACTGTTAAAATGTCTATGCTACCCAAAGCCATCTACACATGTAATACAATCCGTATCAAAAATACTAACGGCATTTTTCACAGAGGTAGAACAGACAGTCCTAAAATTTGTATGGAACCACAAAAGACCCCAAATAGTCAAAGCAATTCTGGCAAAGAAAAACAAAACTGGCAGCATCCACGATTCTGGACTTCAAGGTATATTACAAAGCTGTAGTGATCAAGACGGTACGGTATTGGCACAAAAACAGACACTCAGATCAGTGGGACAGAATAGAAAACCCAGAAATGGACTCACAACTATAGCGTCAAGTAATCTCTGACAAGGCAGGAAGCAGTCAATGGAAAAAAGACAGTCTCTTCCACAAATGGTCTTGGGAAAACTGGATGGCAATGTGCAGAAGAATGAAACCAGACCCCTTTCTCACACCACATACAATAAATTCAAAATGGATGAAAGACCTAAATGCGAGACAGGAAACCATCAAAATTCTAAAGGAGAACACACCCAGCAATCTCTCTGTCCTCTGCTGTAGCAAGTTCTTACTAGACAAGTGGCTGGAGGCAAGGGAAACAAAAGCTAACACAAGCTATTGTGACTTCATCAAGGTAAAAATCTTCTGCACAGAGAAGGACACAATCAGCAAAACTAAAAGGCAACCAACCAACGGAATGGGAGAAGATATTTGCAAATGACATATCAGATAAAGAGTAACTATCAAAATCTATAAAGAACTTACCAAACTCAACACCCAAAAAACCAAATAATCCAGTGAAGAAAGGGCAGAAGACATGAATAGACACTTCCAAAGACGACATCCAGATGGGTAACAGACACATGAAAAGATGCTCAACATCACTCATCATCAGGTAAGACAAATCCAAACCACAATGAGACACCATCTGACACCTGTTAGAATGGCTAAAATTAACTCAGGAAACAGGTGTTGGCAAGGCGAAAGGGGAAGCCTCTTGCACTGTTGGTGGGAGTGCAAACTAGTGCAGCCACTCTGAACACTATGTAGGTTCCTCAAAAAACTAAAAATAGAACTACCCTACGACCCAGCAATTGCACTGCTAGGTATTTCCACAAAGGACATAAAGTACAGATTTGAAGGGGTACATGCACCCCAATGTTAATAGCAGTATTATAAACAATAGCCAAACAATGGGGAGAGCCCAAGTATCCATTGAATGATGAAAGGATAAAGATTTGGTGTATATATACACACACATACACACACACATACACACACACACACACACCCCCCAGAATATTACACAGCCACCAAAAAAGAATGAAATCTTGCCATTTGCAACGATGTGGATGGAGCTAGAATGTATTATGCTAAGTGAAATAAGTCAATCAGAGAAAGACAAATACCATATGATTTCACTCATATGTGGAATTTAGGAAACAAAACAGATGAACATATGGGAAGGGGGGAAAAGAGAAGAGAGTCTGTTCACAGACAACAAACTGAGGCTTGATGGGGAGAGGTGGAGGGGTGGGGCTGGATGGGGGCTGGGTACGAAGGAGGGCACTTGTCATGAGCGCTGGGGGACGGATGTAAGTAATGAATCACTGAATTCTACCCCTGAAGCCAATAGTGCACTGTATGTTAACTAAAACTTAAATGAAAATTAAAAAACAGAAGAGTAAAATGGGTATTCACAACAGCTTTAAGGGGAAAATCACTGACCACCACCAGAGAGTATAGAAGCAGCGCGGACAGGTTTCCGTGGCGCACTGTATGAATCATACGTGGAAAACTTTTAAGGCAAAAGGGTTAACATTGTAACTTCTGAAATAGATGTAAAACACATGCTTGATGGAAAATATTATTTTTAACTTTAAATTCCCAAGAGTTTAAAGGAGAAACGCCTAGAAAAGGAGTCACAATATGGTCACTGACCTGTGAGTGCAGCCACTTTGGCAGCAACCTTTTCGGCGAAGCCAATTCTCGTATTTAAACCAGTGCCAACAGCCGTGCCCCCGGCCGCGAGCTCGTAGACTCTTGGCATGGCGGCGTTTATTCTCGTCATCGCATACTTCACCTGCTGAACGTAACCGCTAAATTCCTGAAAACAGAAGGATTTAAGGTGAGAAGACAGAATTTCCTAATAGCTGAAAAGCGACTCTGACTGCAGGCAACAAAAACTCTTTAAATATGTTTCAGCTACTAAGTTATGAGCTACCAAGTGGTATTTGTAGTATTTTAATTCATATAGTGAGCAAAGTGTGAGGAAGAATGCGGATTTGTAAACCTCTAAGGTGGGACAATGCCACTGAGGATAACGCGCAGCCTGTTTATAATCTCTTAATAGAAAGCAAAGAAAACAACACAGAAATTAAGGCTTAAAAAAGAACTTGAATACATTAAATTGTTGGTTTATTTGCTGCTGATTTGTTATTTTTTGGTGTATACTAGACAATTTTGAGAAAGAAAGAAAACCTATGAATCCTCTCCCATGATAAATCCAAACACAGACATTTTCTCCAAACAATTTCAGTTTAAAAACCTGACAGAGAACAGGAAGGTGCCTCACCAGATCGCAAGAAGCTTAGTGACTCACTGAACAGCACAAGAAGGTGACCGGCTGGAGGAAGACTACAGCTTCAAGATGCAATTCAGTTCTGCTCTTAACGTCACACTGGTTCTCAAAATAGGACACACTTCATAAGGTAACCACAGAATTTCTTGTGTCTGAACAAAGCCAGGCCCCTCTTAACAATTATGCACAGACAAAAGGGAGAAACCAGAACTCAACTGAGCAAGCCAGGATGTACGATTAGAGTGAAGCTGTCTTTTTTTCTGTCTAAAAACACGGAAAAACCATGAATGCCTTTGGTTAGTATCAGGCTCCCTAACTACTGGAAAAGAGAACATTGTAGACGACATAACTCCTTTCAGGCAGACCTGATCCATCGATGCACAATCACGAACATGTATACCGGCTGGATTCGCTTAACAAGTGCACTTTTACTTGGGAAAAGCCTGCATAAACTCAAAAGACAATTCCAATAAAGGCACGTGTAAATGTTCCGCTAAGAGAAACTAGAAGAGAAAACAGCTTCTGGTGTAATGGGGATGACGACCTCACCCAGGAGGCTGCATAGCCCAACCAGGCGTCAGCGAGGCGGTTTTCCAACACGCAACATAGACAAAAAGGAAAACATAAGAAGCCAGGGGGCACCCCAGCTTCAGACACTCACTGCTCCCCCGCGGAAACCATGCCTGGAGCTGAGACCCCACGATGAAAGAGCACACAGACCGAGCCTTCAGAGGCAGCTGAAGCCAGGGAGCTTGCTTCACTCCCAGCACCCATATTCCAATTAATCATTTCATTCTCCTCATTCCTTCCATAATGAGCTTAAGCTAAGCAGTCAAGCTTTTTGCAGCATTCGTCATGGCGAAACTACAAATGAGAATTTTTTCAAGGAAGCAGCACACTCTCACCTCACCTCAATTTCTGCAACACTAACACTTGGCACGTGACATATATAACCATCTTTTGATGCCGAACTTGTGTATGTCCTACCCCCCCGAACTAGGGGAGAGTTTGACTATCAAAAACTATTCTCGGTGTTCCCGTCATCTCCTTCGTGGTGCACACTGTTAGACATTCTTCAAGGCACTGATCAAGAAACATAAAAATACCTCTGGTACCCGGGGGGCAGAGAGTACTCCTCTTTCACATGTGGCCCAATACAATCTTACAGAGCCAGGTATGCCGTGTTTAATCAACTTAAAAGTGGTTTTTATAGAGCCTACGAATCTAGAGCAAGGGACAGGAGGAGCCAGGATGATGATGCTGGTGAAGGTGAAGATGGTGAAGATGGCAGCCAACACCCGCACGTGTCCCCCACGGAACCTCACAACGAGGCTATGATATAGCATCCTCCTCGTTTTAAAGCTCAGAAAACTGAGGCACGGAAAAGCTAAGTAATTTTCCCCAGGTCCCACAGCTTGTACTCAGCAAAGCTAAGTTCTGAACGGGGCCGACTGCCCCGAGGCCCGCTCAGTGTCCTAGGCTGTGCTCCTCCCTCAGGGGATGTCGATGAAAACCACTGACTGGTTGATGCAGCGCAATCTGCGCTACTGAACTGAGCCATTACAAACTTGGCCCTCTGAACTAGTGCGACTTAGCAGCCCCCAAACGGAACCCAGTCCGACATCCTCCTGTACCTGCCCAAGAGTGAGCGGAACAGCGTCCTGGGTGTGAGTGCGCCCAATTTTGATGACCTGGGCAAACTCATTGGATTTTGCATTGAGAGCATCGTGCAGCTTCTGCAGCCCAGGCAGCAGCACCTCGTGGACTTCCAGAGCGGCGGCAATGTGCATCGCGGTGGGGAAGGTATCGTTCGAGCTCTGTTGGAAAATTAGCAAAAAATGCAAAACGTTAAATGAGAAGCAAGGAAAACCAAACTTGAATGTCTTCATTAAACATCTCACTAAATGATCACTCAAAACCCATGCATTTAGTACTCAATTACATTTATTTGTGGGAAGTCAGAGGTCACTTAAGGTCAAATAAGAAGCAACCTAGTGTAACCAACTCAGGGCTGCATCACATCTGTAGCCCACTGTTATATATCATTATGAATGATACATAATCTGCTAAAAAAACAGCAAAACCTAAAGAAGTACAATTAACAAGTGCATGTAAGGAGAACGATAATAAATTATCTTACAGTTCTGCAGTGCAGCCTTTTATAAACAGGTCTTCATTTATCAAACTTGAGGAAAATTCTTGTCATCACTTGGCAGGTCATCACTTCAAAAATAAGAAGCCAAGCTCTCAAAGAAATTATGTGACTTGCCAAAATATTTAGGAACTGGCAGAACTGGGACATGATGAGGTAGTCTACGCTCCAGACTCTGTAACGAGCTGAAACCCCATACTTTTAAACTATTATGCTATTTAAAAAGATATCTTTGTAACTTTTTACTCTGGAAAGTATCAAACCACTCGCAAAAGTAGAATGAATGGTATAATAAACACTCATGAACCTAAACCTAAACTCAAACAATTACCAGCACAGGCCGATCTTGCCTCGCGTGGAGCCCTACCGACCACACCCACTGGTTTATTCTCACGCGGACTTCACACTGAAGTGTACGTAAAAGTTTATATTTGATCACAAGTAATAAGTTTGAAAAATTCTTCATAAATAAACCTGTGAAAACACTTCCCCATTAATATTTAAAAATATATTAAATAGCGCCTAGCATCAGATCTTGAATTCTAAATATTTTCCAGTAAGATCCTCAGAGAGTTCCCAGGGGAAATGGCTGCTGACGGGCTGGGGCGGGGGAAACACAACACGATGAGCCTGCAGCCTGGCGGTATGAGAAAGTAAAGAACTGCTTTTTGGGGGGAAAAGAGGACGGTGGCACGTCCAAAGGACACAGGGCCAACGGCGAGGCTCCCAGAGCTGGAACAATCCGAGTGACACGTAACAACAACCATACTGGGTGAGAACCCAGGAATAAAGGAAACAGTCACTAGTCCATGTCGATACACATCAACAGTGAGGTAAATACGAAAGTGTGGGGGGGACAGAAGACGACAAATCTTTACAGAAAAGTTTCAGTTAACACATACAGAAGGGCTGAGGGGAGGAGAAAATCGCAACCCTACACCAGTCGCAACTGCTGTAGGCAAGACCCGCTACTGCGTGCTGACCCTGCCTGCACAGGCTCAAAGTTACCTCTCAATTCCGTGTTGATTTTAACATATGACCAGACATTTCTTGATACTCCTCCCTTTAGCAAGTGACGCTTCTGTGCAGGGCCTGAGCACAGGCTGACCTCGGGGACTCCCTTCCCACCGAGAACAGAAGGCGGAGAAGCCCAGCAGACCCCGCCAACCAAGTGACTAAAGTGAGCATCACCGGCCCCAAGTCACAGTGCCACCACGGACCCCTGCCGTGATGCAAGGAGAGCCCTTCACTTCTGAACAGTCTTCCCCAAATCCAGTCTCTGTCCAATCATGAGACAGCACCAAACAAACCCAAGCTGAGGGATGTTCCACAAAATACCCGACCGCTACTTTCGCAAGTGTCAAGGTGACAAAAGACAAACTGTCAGAGACTGGAGTGGATGAAGAGAACACAGCGACTACATGCAATGTGTAGTGTGGACTGCATCTCGCAAGAAAACAAAAAGATACTAGTAGAAAACTAGGGAAATCCTAAAAAAGTCTGTTTATATACCAATATTATATACCAATTTTAATTTCATTGTGTGGTAAACATACCAGGGTTATGAAAAATGTCTAACCTTTTGGGAAGCTGGGAGAAGGGTGTACAGGAACTCTTTGAGGTATGTTCATAATTCTTTTATAATTCTAAAATTACTTAAAAATAAAGAGTTTTTTAAAAATAAACCAAACAATGGGAGGCCTGGGTGGCTCAGTCGGCTGGGCGTCTTATTTCGGCTCAGGTCATGATCTCACGGTTCATGGGTTCTAGCCCCGCGTCGGGCTCTGTGCTGACAGCCAGCTCAGATTCTGGATCCTGTTTCAGATTCTGTGTCTCCCTCTCTCTGTGCCACTTCCCTGCTCACATTCTGTCTCTCTCTCTCTCTCAAAAATGAATAAACATTAAAAGATTAAAAAAATAAACCAAAAAATACAAATATACATATATTCTAAATTCAGGTGTCCTAATAGGGATTTTTATGAAGTTTAAGGCAGAGACCCAAGATTCCTACAAGATATAAGAACACGAAAGAAGTCTTTTCTACTGAAGAATACAAGCCAAATAAACTTTCTTTGTCAAAAGCTAACGCTTGGTTTACAAGAGTAATCTCAGGTATTCTTTTCAATTTATAACCAAGAAAAGATCGCACACTGACCTGGCTTTTGTTAACATGATCATTGGGATGCACAGGTTTCTTGCTGCCAAGTTCACCTCCTAGCATCTCAATTGCTCTATTGCTAATGACTTCATTCACATTCATGTTTGTCTGGGTTCCTGAGCCAGTCTGCCACACCACAAGAGGAAAATGATCGTTTAATTTGCCTTCAGCTACCTGTAGAAAAAGAAGTTTAAGAAATGAATTGTTAAAAATAAACGGTATTCAGTACTCACGGAAACTACTGTCATCAACTACTAGTAAGTGATCACCTATGAAGCGCTATCTGAAAGATGCTCCCGTTTTCTCACATGCTACATGATTTGCTGACGGGGCCGCATAGCTCCTGGCTGTCCAGGGAGTCCAAGCTTCGGCATCCCATGCTCCAACCATCGCTACTTACACAATGCAAATCATCTATTCTGAAAGGTAACAATCGCATGGATTCCAAATGAAAACTGAATAAAATCGGTCTTTCTTCCGTATCTCCAACTGCCTGTTCTAACCCCATCCAGACGGGGCCCCTGTGAGGCCGGCACATGTGTGAGTTTGTGGATACAGACTGCAGCACTCAGTGGGAACACCCACAGATGAGAAAGGTGGAGTCAGCATGGCTGTGAAAAAGTGACTCAAACGTGAGTTTCCTAATAGTCACTTCAGCGCACAGATGTCCTGTGAGTGACAACTGCCAAGTGCAGAGATGTGCAGTCCAAAACTGTCCAAAACTGTCCAAAACTGTCCCGGTTTCTGTCATAGTTTATGTGTCCATTTCTGAACTATAAGCTCTCTCAGAGAGTCAGTGCTTAACTTCATCTTCTAGAATGATTTTAGCTTGAAAAAACTCAGCATGCACCTTAGAAAATGATCGTCTGAAACAATTAGTTACTTTTAAAGCAAATCTTTTTACTAGTTAGATAAAAATAATAGATTATCAGTGTGGATCATTTTGAGAAGTGAAAACACTGTAAATTACAATAGCCCTACCCCTCAGAAACGGTGGCTCTCGGCATTTTGGCATCTCCTTCTCGGTTTGCCCCAAGAAATGGGCATGCCTATTTATACAGAGAAAAACACATTATCTGTCCATCTTTTCTTTTCCATTTATTTATTTTTGAGACACAAAGTGAGACAAAGCGTGAGCCGTGGAGGGGCAGAGAGAGGGGGAGACGCAGAATCTGAAGCAGGCTCCAGGCTCCGAGCTGCCAGCACAGAGCCCGACATGGGGCTCGAACCCACGAACCACGAGATCATGACCTGAGCTGAAGTCGAAGGCTTAACCGACTGAGCCACCCAGGCACTCAAAATGAATATGTTTAGTGATCCTAACTGTGTTTAGAAAAGATGGACAGAGGGGCACCTGGGTGGCTCAGTCGGTTAAGCTTTCGACTTCGGCGCAGGTCATGAACTCCTGGTTCGTGGGTTTGAGTCCCATGTCGGGCTCTGTGCTGACAGCTTGGAGCCTGGAGCCTGCTTCGGATTCTGCGTCTCCCTCTCTCTCTGCCCCTCCCCGGCTCACGCTGTCTCTCTCTCTCTCTCTCTCTATCAAAAGTAAACATTAAAAAATTTTTTCTTAATTTTTAAAAATAAACCAACACACACACACATACATATTCTGTTGCTCCCACCGCCATACTTCTATGCTGGGTTTATCCTAGGACATCCTTCAAGAAGCCAATTCTCTATCACTTCATGGTATAACTTATATAAGTATCTGTTGTGTCAGATACAGTCTAACTTGTTACTACTGAAAACAGTATCGCAATGAACACCACTGAATACACAGTTCTTTAACTGTTCTCTCCGACTCTGTCCTTAAGATTACATGGAGACGGATTAGTGACATTACATTCCCCACACATTCATCAAATAACCAACTTGTTTTAAAAGGAATCATGTTGGGGCGCCTGGGTGGCTTAGTCGGTTAAGCGTACGACTTTTGCTTAGGTCATGATCTCACAGTTCGTGGGTTCGAGCCCCGCGTCGGGCTCTGTGCTGACTGCCAGCTCAGGGCCTGGAGCCTGTTTCAGTCTGTGACTCCCTCTCTCTCTGACCCTCCCCTGCTCACGCTGTCTCTCTTTCTCTCTCCTAGAAATAAAAATAAAACATTTAAAAAAAAAAAAGGAATCATGTATACATAAAATAAAAAAAATCAAATCTGTAAGTTTTAACAAGTGCCTCTTCAAGTTTTTTTAAACTATATGAATTAAAAGGAAGAGTCAAGAGAAATTAAAAATAAAAGGCATAAGGTGACCCAGAAACTCTGCCACCTTAGGCACCATGTTAATAGCCTCACCAACAAGGAGGCCACCACATTATCCTGAAATTCATGGACTTGGGAACCCAGAGGCCCTTCCCCGGCCTGAGCCTGACGGCGTCTCAAGGACACAGCGGGCCTGCTGCCGCTGCGTAAGCGCACACTCGGGCTTCCTACCTCATCGGCTGCCTTCATTATTGCATTCGCGATCTTCGAATCAAGACCATAATCCTGGTTGACTTCAGCAGCTGCTCGCTTCAAGATTCCAAAAGCTTTAATAACTGGGATCTAAAATGAATCAGAAAGACGCCTCAAATTATCAAGTGTGCTTAGCATAAAATTTAAGATTATTATCTTATGCAGGTGCAAAAACTAAGTAAGACCCTAACTGAGGTAACACTACAGTAACACAGGATTACAGACAGGCTGGCATGTAATGGACCAAGATTCATCATGTGTCTGTCTGTTTAGGGAACCAGACATAAATGTGCTGACTTCTCACACATATGTGTGTATGCCCTCCACACAAACACAAGCACGCACACACACGCACTGTACCATTCATTCTACTTTTTTGTAATACGTTATAATGTTTATGTGTTTATTTTGTGTATTTATAAAGTATATTGTGTTTATATACATGAAAACAAATGGTGCTCAATCATTTCACCAGCAAAGCACCATTATTTTCCCTCACTGGAGCTCATGCCACATCATAGTGTGTCCTTCTTCGCTTTAAAAGTATTAATATTTAAATGCCAATAAGTTTGAGGGGCGCCTGGGTGGTTTAGTCGGTTGGGCGTCTGACTTTCGCTTGGGTCATGATCTCACGGTTCGTGGGTTCGAGCCCCGCGTCAGGCTCTGTGCTGACTGCCAGCTCAGAGCCTGGAGCCTATTTCAGAGTCTGTGTCTCCCTTATCTCTCTGACCCTCCCTGCTCATGCTGTCTCTCTCTCTCCTAGAAATAAATAAAAATATTTTTAAAAAAAATGCCAATAAGTTTGAAATAACAAGTTATACTAAATGGGTATCATTTCATCCCAAAGTCAAAAAGCATGATATTCTAATTAGTCCCTGAGGCCCTGATACTTGGTACGTCACTGCACAGTTCTTCAAGACCAGGGAGCTACACACTGACACACCTAAGTGAAGTTCAAACCCTCTCAGTTTGCACACCTTCTCACTTCCTGCTCCGAGTCACCTCACCGAATTTATGACACTGAGTAACTTCAGATGGCATTTTAATGAAGTGATATCTGGTTTCTGTACGTCGAGAGAATTATGTGTTCTTACCAAACGTAAGAATGCAGGTTGTGGTCTGGGTCACACACCAGGTTTGAAGGGGAAAGAGTGCAAGTGAGAAAGGAAGGGCGGGGAAAAGAAGACAGAACAGGACACCAGAAGCTACAGTCCTCAAGGGGAACCAAGGTGAAAAAACGAAGAAAAGAAATAGGACACATTAAACCCGGGCCAAAGAGAGGATACGCTGAGGGGCACACTGAAAAGGAAATAACTAACGAATATTTGTATTATGAATTCTAAGAAACTAAAATGAGAACGTTTTAAGTGTTCTACCCAAACAAGATAGAGACAAACGGCACATAAGATAGAAACTTTAAAACTTTAAACATGAAACAGATGCGGGGCGCCTGGGGGGCTCTGCTTGGTTAAGCATCTGACTCTTGACTTTGGCTCAGGTCATGATCTCACGGTTCGTGGGATCAAGCCCTGTATTGGGCTCTGTGCTAACAGTGCAAAGCCTGTTTGAGATTCTCTCTCTCCCTTTCTTTCTGTCCCCCTCCCCTGTTCATGCCTGCTTGCTCTCTAAATAAATAAACTTAATAAAAAAAGACATCCAAAAAACATGAAACAGATGGGAATGGGAATTTCTGCAGGAGCACACTGCCGTGGCTGACAGTGCTGCCCAAGTCGTAAGTGACGCCCGTCAGCTCTGGCCGTCGGATGAAGTGACCGGCCCCGGTGTCTGCAGACTCATAAAGATGAAAGAGGCTCACAGCAGAGTGTCACTGAACAGTTACAATAACATGGTAAAAGGACACCGGGGAGAAAAGAAGGGTCTCATTATTCTTAATTTACTCACATTGGAAGTTCATAATCTTTTTTGGTTTCGTTTTCTGTTGGGCCTCAGGGACAAAGGGCTGGGTTTACTCCTACTACTCAGGTCAGGGCACATCACCGTCTGCTTTATATTTTTAAACGTTCAGGATCTTAATTGAGATGAGACAACATGTGACAAGCAGATACCCTACGAGTCCATCTCTCACAGACGCGGCTGCAGCCACCCCCTCAGAACCCCACCCCTGCTGCCTGAAGCAGGACCCAAGGACCATTAAGGCGGGAGCTGTGCTCACTCCTACCAGTTCTGATTAGGGCGGGCCTCCTTAATCCCAGGAGTCGAAATGGATGAGGGGATTTTAGGATCGGCTGCAACCCTGTCCCCTAACCATGCCTTCTGTCCCTAGTTTACCTCATCAGGGACTTCTTTTGGGAACAGTGCCAAAAAGATTTTCTTTGAAGGGTCAGCTGCAGCCACTTGTTGTAAAACTGCGTAAGCCCAGCAAAGCTTCAGTCATACAGCTTGGGAATGGGCTGCAGTTCCATAGGGAGGTTAGTATTATCGGATAGGAAGTATATGTAGAAGACAGCTATCCCACAGCAGCTCACCGGAGAAGCCCGGCTACTTCCTGGCTCCTTGCCTGTCCTGCTCTCTGGCAGTGACTAGTGTCACACTGCAGCCGGGCTCCGGAAGCATAATCTACTCCTTCAATTCTTCCCACACTCTGCCATCTCTGAAACCCAGACACATCGTATAGTCAGTGACAGGTCACACCTCTGACAGCCTTTCTCCTAGTGCCACATCATGGTGCATCTTCTGACACCATCTTAAATCTAATGAAATATGGTAGAACGTTTTCTAATCGATCATTCGTGTGGCAACAAACGTATTTATCTATTATATGCCAGATATGGTTAAAAAGACACTTTTTTGTATTTGTGTATGCTTCCCTGGAAACTGCAACCAAGAAAGAATAATATTGAAGAAAAATATCTGTTTTCTTTTAAATCTGCTTCTAAAAATCAGTCTTATATCAGTTAAAAAAATTAAATATTAAAACTACAAATGTTTACAACTGTAAAATTCTGTAAAAATCTGAATAATCCCGGCAAGAATTAAAAGACATATCACTTAGTTCTACCAAATAAAACTCTAAAACACGTAAAGTCACAGCTCAAAATAATAGAACTAAAGTGCAAAAGGGTCTTTGATATTTGAAAGCGAAATATCTTACTATTCACAAAGCCAGGTCCATAATAACTTTTTACCCCTGTAAAATATTTATTTATAAAGTGACTCATTTGAATAAAGCCAATACTTCCACAAAACCACTTACGGGCATGCGCTCCGTCACACCTCCGATCTTAAAGTTCATTGTGGATCTCACAGTCTGGGCGCCGTAATACTTATCATTTGGGACCTTGAGTTCACCAAAGGTATCAAACTCTATCCGAAAGGAATTCTGGCTTGCCTAAAGAGAATAATAAGATGCTATTAGAGCTTAAAAAGAAACTGAGCATTAAAGCAATAATACCTCGTCAGCTGTAAGGGGAAAGAAACCTTAGTAAGTATCACAAAGACCACAAAATCCCACTGGATTCTCAGTCTACTGCCCAGTTCTTTTCTTGAGAAATTTCTGTCACTTTAATTGGAGTACAGCTGACACACACAATGTTACGTTAGTTTCAGGGGTCCAACACGGTGACGCCACAACTCCGGGTCCATGCTGTGCCCACCACAGTACAGCTACCATCTATGGCCACACAAAACTACTACAATACCATGGACTATTTCCTTATGCTGTGCTTTTTATTCCGGTGACTTATTCTTTCCAAAACTGAAAGCCTCTACCTTCATCTGTTTTGCCATCTCCCCCATCCTCCCCCCACCGACTCTTCAGCAACCAGCAGTTTGTGCTCTGTATTTACGGGTCTGATCCTGCTTTGTTTATTCCTTAGTTTTGTTTTTAAAATTCCACATAGAAGTGGTATCATATGGTTTTTGTCTTTCTCTGACTTATTTCTCTTAGGATAGTTCCCTCTAGGTCCATCCATGTCATAAACGGCTAGATCTCATCCTTTTGATGGCTGAGTAACATTCCATTGTGTGTATTCACCACATCTCATGCATCAATGGACACTGGGTTGCTTCCCTATCTTGGCTATTGAAAATATACTGCAATAAACACAAGGATGCATCTATCTTTTTTAGTTTTTTTCATTTAATTCTTTTCATTTACTTTTTTTCATTTACCCAGTAGTGGAATTACTGGACCACATGTTATCTATTTTGTTTTTTGAGGATCCCGCATACGGTTTTCTACAGCAGCTGCACCAGTGTGCATTTCCACCAACAGTCCACACCTCACCAGCACTTGTCACTTCTTGTCTTTCTGATGCCAAACGTTCTGGCAGGTGTGAGGTGATCCACTACTGTGGTTTGGTCTGGAGTTCCTGGGCAAGTAGTGATGTTGAGCATCCTTTCATGTCTCTGGTAGCCATTTGTACATCCTCTTTGGACAAATGCCTACTCAGGTCCTCTGGCCATTTTCAATGATTATTTGGGCTTTTTGGTGTTAAATTATGTACATTCTTTATATATTTTGGACATTAACCCCTTATCAGATATCATTTGCAAATAACTGCAGATGTTAGAGAGAGACTGTAGAATTCATACACTGTGCCGAAGATAAATAAAGGAAAGACTCTGAAGTAAAAACAGTAATCTTTTCCAGTTCAGAAGTATTATCTCTTATAGGTCAAGCTTTGGCCAATTCAGTGCACAGTACTTGGGTAAATCTTTATTTTACACGAAACTTTAGAAAATGGCCTAAAAATGATACTTTAAAATTTGTAAATATCACACACTGATGCAGAGCTTGGCCATGGTCTGTAAATACCAGGCCTGAGAGACAGATTAGTACAATATGAATAACCCAGGCTTTGTAGTCAGACAGCACTCCTATGGAGGAGCTGTGTCACCTTCAGCAAGTCAATTTCTCTCATCTGTAACTTAAATGTACAGTCAAGGGAGGATGGGCTAGGTCAGTTCTTCACCTTTTCAGGTGAAGAGAATATGAGGAAAGCTGTGGATCCTTTCTCTACAAAAATGAGCACAAATACACATACTATATGCAAAATCTTACATATGATTTTAGGGAATCTGTATCTTGAAGCCAATCGACCACCCAGAATAAGAACCTATGACCTGAGGAACTTAACGGAGGATCGTGGGGGACAAGGGGAGAAATAGTGGGGGAGAGGGAGGGAGGCAAACCATGAGAGACTCTTGAATGCTGAGAACAAACTGAGGACTGATGGGTGTGGGGGTGGGGAGGGGGAGATGGGCATGGAGGAGGGCACTTGTGGGGATGAGGACTGGGTGTTGTATGGAAACCAACTTGACAATAAACTATTTTTTAAAAAATTAAAAAAAAAATAAAAACTAAAAACTTTTCTAAGGTGAAAAATCTAAAAAAAAAAAAAAAAAGAACCTATGACCCAAAGTCCCTTTTATGGAGACCCTAAGATTCTATCAAATACATCAACTTATGCTAATAAAAAAAAATTAACTGCTCAACAATATTCTATAATACTATACAAAAGACATTGTAAAACAATAAGTTGGAATTTACATGATACTTTATATCAAGGAGACTCCACAGAGATACTCAGAGCTTTAATTAATGTGCATGAATTATGAAATAAACATGGTCAGATGACTCAAAAGACTTAAAAATCCCTAGCCAAGTAATTCTGTTTTAGTAAATAGTCCTCTGAAAAAGAAAAATTTAATACATAGTTATCCCCTGGGACTAGGCAGATTTACAAAACCCTTTATATATTATGAAGCCTTCTGGATTGCAGAAACAGAAAAGTATCATTGTATCAATGTAGAAATACAGTAGTATTACTGATGACGTACATTTTCTTAAACCATTAAGAAGCAGCAGTTAATACAAATAATCACACCTCAGCATTCACTGTGCTACATGGCCAACTTTTCAAATATACCTTTATCTGACTTTTACAATCACTCTAGGAGACTGTACTACTACCATCTCCATCTTAAAGAAAACACTGAGATTTGGAGAGGTTAAATAATCTCAGGAGATCACCCAGGTAGCAAGCAGAAAGACCTGAAACGCTCAAAGCCTGGACTGTCAAAATCCAAAAGTTGTTTGGATTTAACGTTTTTATGACTACTTCCATAACCCAAGAAACAGAGGAGTAACTCCAGACTGGCCAAGCCTTGAGTTGTACCCCTAACCCTGAAGAATAAAAGGAGGTGGAGATGCAGGGTGAGATTCTTCTCTAACAGAGCTTCATTATACTGACACCACTGTACACCAACTTGCTTCCTACCCTGTAGACCCAAAGCACCCAGGGTTCTGTATCTCCAATGCACTAATGAAAATATTTTGCATTATCATCTGTTTTAGATAGCCTCAGTAAAATCTCCACGTAGGTGAAAGTATACTTTGACCCGCTGACACTAGCAACGACAGCAGTAGCACTGGACAACAAGCTGGGTGTTCTTCCTCTCATCAGCCTCTCATCAGCCTGTTCTAAAAGGAGAATGGTTGCCATCAGTCACTTGTGAGATCAGGTTCAACTCCTAAGATTTACATCATCACTGTCTGTGTTCAAAACTATTAAATTCTCATCATAAAACAGCAGTATCTTTGCCCCCTAAAGAACTGGTTGCTACGGTAAAACTCAGATCCATTAAAAGTTACTTGAAAAGATCTAGATGAATACATTCTACTACGTTCTTCAGCTGAAACCTTAACAATTTTTAAATTCCAAATCAAGAAACAACAACTTAATAAATTCTAGGATCCTGACAGTGATCATTAAAAAAGTACAGAAGTTGGAGCGCCTGGGTGGCTCAGTCGGTTAAGTGTCCGACTGCGGCTCAGGTCATGATCTCACGGTTCGTGGGTTCGAGCCCCGTGTCGGGCTCTGTGCTGACAGCTCAGAGTCTGGAGCCTGTTTCGGATTCTGTGTCTCCCTCTCTCTCTGCCCCTCGCCTGCTTATGCTGTCTCTCTCTCTCAGAAATAAATAAAACATTTAAAAAATTAGAAAAAAAGTTAAAAAGTACAGAACTGTGGGTGAAGTCATAATCTCAGCAAAAACCTCAGAAAATATGCTTACAGTTCCTATAATAAAAATAAACACCCCAAATTTACAATAGACACTGTTTGCAGCAGCTTAGTTAGCCAATAACAAACTATTCCAAAAAGCCAAACAGTTATCTCTTTATTTAACCCCAGGAAATATATAGGTTGCATACATTTGTTGAATAGAAACCAAAGCAATGCTGTAAACCACTCTGAAAGGCACCAGGAATTAGAGAAAAACTATCTATGTTTATGTGGAGTTAACATCTCTTAGATAAGCACATATATATATCTATATATCCATATATATATCCTTATAAAGATATATAGATATGGATAGAGGAACAATGAGCCAGGTAACTGCCAAATCTCTTCAAACATTCTTTCACCTTCTTTACAATAATAACCCACAGAAAAAACCTTTATACAGTGATCTGGTACAACCATAAACACATGTGCGTACATGCATACAAGGATGAATTAAAATTTCATGAAACGGTATGTCACTCCTATTTTCTATTCTATGCCATTCTATTCTATTAAAATAGTATAATAATACTGCCAACTACCCACTGCACTGATTTCACCATCCACTTGAGTCCACCCGAGGTCTGAAAAGCACTTGTGTGGTTTCCAAAATCTTCCATATTATTCTGTACATCATCTCTTCCCAGTGTCTTGGGCACAAAGAGGAGGAATGCTCATCCTCAATTAAAGGAAAATTATCAGTGCTTTTGATGATGAATAAAGTGATGAATAGCATCTGTTAAATACGTTTTTGGGGCTTTTTAAAATTTTTAAATTTACATCCAAGTTAGTTAGCATCTAGTGCAACAGTGACTTCAGGAGTGGATTCCTTAATGCCCCTCACCCATTTAGCCCATCCCCCCTCCCACACCACCTCCAGTAACCCTCTGTTTGTTCTCTATATTTAAGAGTCTCTTATAGTTTTTGTCCCCTTCCCTGTTTTTATATTATTTTTGCTTCCTTATGTTTTGAATTCATATAATCCACTGTTACAAAAAAGTAGCATTTTTGAAAACCATGCCTTCGTATGCCATCATTCAGAGAGTTTCCAGCAGAAGGTGATGGGATTATCCCTTCAGGTATTTAACACCATGGCTTAAAAAGAGTTTAACTAGCTGGGCATGAGGCAGACACAATCTGCAACTTCTTGATGGTTTCTATGAGACTCGTGCTCGTTGAAAATCACCTCCCCTCTTGGAGAAGAATGAAGGGTAATGGTGGTGTTCTCTGCAGGCTTACTGTCAGTAGGCCAGAGAAATACCAAGTACTGTCAGTAGCCACTAACTCCAGGAACCTTAGAAATTGATGAAATGGTCTCAAAATCTGCAAGCCGGTCTAAACCAGAAAGTTCAGTAAAGACTAGCCGTGAGCCTAAGATGCCCACGCTGCACATACACGTGTAAGAAAACATTAACTAAGCCATGGCACTTCCTAAAGAAATAAAATGCCTTTCAGATTCTCAGTTTAAGGTGGTTTAAAAGAATACTTCAGGGGCGCCTGGGTGGCTTAGTCGGTTAAGCGTCCTACTTTCGCTTAGGTCATGATCTCGCGGTTCGTGGGTTCGAGCCCCGCGTCGGGCTCTGTGCTGACTGCCAGCTCAGAGCCTGGAGCCTGTTTCAGTCTGTGACTCCATCTCTCTCTGACCCTCCCCTGCTCACGCTGTCTCTCTCTCTCTCTCTCTCCTAGAAATAAATAAAACATTAAAAAAAAAAAAGAATACTTCAGCGTTCAAGAAAATCCAAATCATTTCTCACGTAAAAGGACTACCTCCAAAGGAAAAAAACCCAAAACGTGACTTCAGTGTATTTGGATTTTCAGTTCCTTTCAGGAAAAGTCTGTCTCGTCTTAAAATATAGGGTGACCACCAAGTCTTGCAATAGTGGCAAATTTAATAAATGTTTTATTGATATTACAATGCAATATACAAGATATAATCTGTTGCCAGACATCATGGCCATCCTAAAGACCGTTAAGGGAACGAAGAGGAGAAACTTTAAAAGACGGGGGGCTCACGGCCACCATGCCAGCAAGTACCAAAGCTGTGCTATTATAGCTGCTCGCCACTACACATCCTCACCCTCACTGTGCTATTTCTCCTCTGTGGTATTTATCACATTGTAATTAACCGTGCATCATTTCTTTGCTTAATTAATCGCCCCCCGTAGTCTCTGAACTCTATGCTTGTAGCGACTGTCTTTTCTTTTTTTTTTTTTAATTTTTTTTTATGTTTTACTTATTTTTAGGAGAGAGAGAGACAGCGTGAGCAGGGGAGGGTCAGAGAGAGAGGGAGTCACAGACCGAAAGAGGCTCCAGGCTCTGAGCTGGCAGTCAGCACAGAGCCCGACGCGGGGCTCGAACCCACAACCGCGAGATCATGACCTAAGCGAAAGTCGGACGCTTAACCAACTAAGCCACCCAGGCGCCCCTCGACTGTCTTTTCCAAAGAGCCTGGTACGTAGCGGGTGTTCAATAAATACATTATCTTATGCTTGCAGTGACTGTCTTTTTCACAGGACCCAGATGCATAGCAGCATCCGATAAATGTAATCTTCCTCCTGGAAGGGTATTTACGGTTTGTTTCGATAAATGTTAACGTAGGGCATTTATGGTTATGTAAATTCTCAACAGCAGCAATAAAAAAAAACCTTTTAATAAAATCAACACAACAATTCTGAACTGCGTTTACAGGGCAAGAGACAGATGTGGATTTATGGGGGTGGGGGAATCTATCTTCATTTGATCTTAGCTAACACTAAAAACCAAGGCAGTGCTATGTTTTGAACATTTACAACAGGACAAATTCAGTTCTCCAGCCTCCAATTCCCTTTTTACAAAACACTCAGTAGAAAATACATAAATACTTTAAAGGCTCTAAAATGCACTAAAATTACTAGAGCAGGGAAGTGCAGCAATATGAAGCACCCCTGATCTTGTACTTTCAAGTACAGTCATGCCGTGAAATTATCTTAAAGTTTATAGTTCAGAACGTGTCTTGGGCTTTGAAACATGCCAGATGGAGGCATTTATTTAATGAGCACTTACTACTTGCCAAACACTGCCAAAGTGATTTCACATGGGCAATCTTGCTGGGTACCTGCAATTACTTCTATTTTACATGCAGAAACTGAGACACAAAGACAAGTTGCCCCAAATCTGAACTTTGAGCAGCAGGATTTGAAATCATGTCTCTGACTGCTGAGCTCATGCAGAACTGTAATTCTTCCTAAACTACCCTTTATTTCCCAAACTTTTCCTACCAATACACGCGCGCCTATGTATTTAAAATGCTCGTCAGGGCCCAAATCACTGAAGGTGACACCCTCTCTAAAAAGCAAAGGACTTGGGGCGCCTGGGTGGCTTAGTCGGTCAAGCGTCCGACTTTCGCTTAGGTCATGATCTCGTGGTTCGTGGGTTCGAGCCCCGCGTCGGGCTCTGTGCTGACTGCCAGCTCAGAGCCTGCAGCCAATTTCAGAGTCTGTGTCTCCCTCTCTCTCTGACCCTCCGCTACTCACGCTGTCTCTCTCTTAGAAATAAATAAAAATATTTAAAAAATAAATAAATTAATTAATTAATTAATAATAAAAAGCAAAGGACTTGAACTTGGACCTTCAGGTCCCTTCGGTCTCTCTGAATTAAAAAAGACGGACTCAGCTACAGTTAGATCCTATCCAATCTCCCCTAATACTTCAGGACACTGACCCCCTCTACAAATTTCAAGGTTTTACAAACTGAGCAACTCCGTGAAAAGTAGACTCTTTAAGTTCCCGAGAAGCTTCAACCCGGCCCGGAAGCCCGAAAGGAGTTCACCACCCAGAGGAGGTAAGAAGGCACAGGGCCGGGGCGACCACCAGCGCGGGCCCCGCTTCGGGGCAGGGCTGCAGCGGCCCCCGTCCGCCGCCTCCCACGCCCGCACAGTCCCCAGGGCAGGGCCCCGGGGGGGGGGCGCCCCGGGGTGGGGGGGGGGCGCCCCGGGGGAGGGGCGCCCCGGGGTGGGGAACTGCGCCCTGGCCGGAGGGCCGCAGAAGGCGCGGCTGGGGCAGCCCCCCCCGCCCCGGAACGCCCAAGGGGGCCCGCGGGACCCTGGCTGGCTGCTGCCGCCGCTGCCCACGCGCTCACCCGGGACGAGGCGGCGCCGCGGGCCCCGGAAGCCCGCCACGCGGGCGCGCAGCCCAGGCCGAGGTCGGCCGGGACGGCGAGGGAGCCCCTCCCGCCGGCCGCGCCGCCGAGCAGCTGGGCTGAAGGTCACGGCGGGGAGGCCGGGGCTCGCGCGCCCCGCGCTCACCATTCCAGCGGCGTTCGGGGCCCGCGGGGCGAGGGCGGGCGCGCCTCCGAGGCCGGGAGCTGAGGCTGAGCCGGGAGGCCGCGCGAGGCGACGCGGGCGCGCGAGGAGCCGGACCAGGCGGTACATGGTGCAGCGGGAGCCTGGGTAGAATTCGGCGGCGTCGAGGCCACGCCCCCGCGCCCGCTGTCAGAAACATCCCTCCCACGGCGCCTCGCTCTTATCCAATCAAGCCGGGCGGGGGGGGTGGGGCCAGTCGTGAATGGCCAGTAAAGAGTGAGGGGGCGGGCTTACCTTCCAGGTTGAGCGGACCCTGGAAGCCCTCTGGCTCCTGGGAAACTAGAGAGAAGGGAATTATGGGAAAGGAGGCTTAAGGTTCCCTTTGAAACCGTTTGGCCGCCGTTTGAGGCCGGCCGAGGGCGACAGTGTTAGGTGATGAATGAGTCAGTGTTTGTTAGAAAGAAGTATGTATTTATCATATAATCACTCGTTACAGGTTCTCTCTTTGGAATCTTTTAAAATTTCTTCCAAATTACGTCCTCCATATAGAAATTTTGGAATTCGAAGCAAAGTATAGACAATGAAATAATAATTATCCATAAGGCCAATCCATGTGGAAGTCTCTGCATTTTCCTTTCTTTTCTAAACGGGTACACTCAAGAACTCTCTTTTTTAAAATTTTTTAATGTTTTATTTATTTTTAAGAGAGTGTGAGCAGGGGCGGGGCAGAGAGAGAGGGAGACATAGAATCCGAAGCAGCTCCAGGCTCTGAGCTGTCAGCACAGAGCCCGACGCGGGGCTCGAACCCACGAACCTCAGATCATGACCTGAGCCGGTTGGACACTTAACCAACTGAGCCCCCCAGGCGCCCCCAAGAACTCTCTTTTAAAGTGTAGTGTGGAAGATGCCCACAGTTACAGGCGATTTGGGAATTTTTATGATTTACATTTAGGTTCTCCCAAGTTTCTTGCATTGATGATACAAACGTGTTCACGTTAAAGGCATGTTGCTTTAGGCTGAGGTGATGACAGAAAAGCACGAACTGATTTAAAATTACACCTGAACTACTGATTTATCTCTTCTTTCTTCTCCTTTGTATTGCTCCAAACGAGATAACAGTTAATCATGAAAGAAAACCACTGGATAATGTCCAGAAGTCCAAAGTCCAGGACTGGGAAAGCCAGGGTTATGAGTTAGCCTCTGACAAACCTCCAGGTAACGCTGCTTGTGTTATTTGGTGACTACGATTTTGACTCGTATATTTCAAATATGAAAATTTAAATGAGAGAGCATGATACCACTCCAGAGAGCTCACCAGAACTCTTTATACCTCAGCATCACCTCCCTCTGTCGACTCATGATTCAGAAATTACTAGAATACTTGATGAGGGGCGCCTGGATGGCTCAGTCACTTAAGCGTCTGACTTGCTTTTGTCACAGGTCCATTATCTCACGGTTTGGAGGGTTCAAGCCCGCATGTGATTCTCTTTCTCCTTCTCTTTCTGACCCTCCCCCACTCATGCTGCCTCTGTCTCTCTCAAAAATAAATAAATAAACTTAAAAAAAATACTTGATGCAAAAGTGAAACCAGCAGCGGCTTAGAAGTTAGGAGGACAGAATAAGAGAAATTCAGAAATCGAAAGGTAATGCAATGGTTTTAGGAAACAGTGAACCCCCTATTCCATTTGTTTAGGCTTCCCACCATTAAAAAGCAAACAACACAAAGTTTAGTGTGAAGGTAGTATTGTTAGTGTTGTCATCAGTAATTACTGGAACATTTACTAACAATCACTATCATTTCCTAGAAAATGCTAACATTTTGATGCATTTGTTCCATACCCTTCGTAAAAGAAAAGAAATAACAAATTACTAATACTAGAGAGGCATTTTCTTCCCCATCTTCCCAGAAACTATCATCATTTTGCTGTGTGTCTTTTCAGTTTACCTGTGTATTTTTTGCTGTGCATATTGATATGCAAAAATAATGGTTTTAAAAATTTAAAGCTTTACTGTTCTATAACTAAACTGTTTTTGAGATCTAGCCATGATTTTTTTTAACTTAATAGTACTCCTATCCCATGAATTTACCACACTTTCTTAAGAATCTTTTTAACTTAGTATTCTATTGCATAAATATAAAACATTGTACTTATACAATTTCTTGAAGAAGGGTATCTTTTGCTCTTATACACAATTCTTTAGTGAACAGAAGTTTATGGTTTCTTCGTAGATCATAGAGTAACATCACTTCATGGAATGATGTCACTCTATATTCTTAATGCTGCTTATCATTTTGAACTCTTGTTTTCAACATTGATATTTCTATGCCAGTGGTTATTATTTGCCTGAGGTATGTTTCTCATTTTATTTTGGATAGTTTTGTTTCCTTTTTACTTTGAGCCTATCTCCTGTCTCCGATGTTTTAAAATCCAAGTTGGTAGACTTTTAATAAATAGTCCATTTTAATCCCTTCCAACAACAGCATGATGCATGTTACAATCCAGAACATTTTCTACACACTTTACGTATTAATTCTTTTAACAATCAAAGCAGCCCTGCAAGGTGGATCCTATTATTACTTCTGTTCAGAGAAGAGAAAATTGATACTTCGGAGCATTGGACTAGGCCACAATCTTAACTATTTTGCAGGCACATTGTGGGACTTATTTTCCACATCATTATTAAGATTTCTCCAGAAATGGTGCCTGGCACTGGACAGTGATTAAAAACAATTAAAAAAATAATAAATGGGGTGCCTTGGTCACTTAGTCAGTTAAGCATCCAGCTTGATTAAGGCTCAGGTCATGATCTCTGTGGGATCATGGGATCGAGTCCTGTATCAGGCTCTGCACTGAGTATGGAATCTGCTTAAGATTCTCTCTCTCTCTGTCTCTCTCTCTCCTTCACTCTGCCCCTCTTCCTCACTTGTGCTCAATAAACAAATAAATAAATACATACATAGGTTGGGGCAAAATGTATTTTCCTAATAGTGTTGTAACAATATCTCCCATTCCATATGCCCCCGTACAGTATGGATTTGCCAGAGGAGAGTCTAAATATCCTCCCCTTTAATACTGGCGGGCCTTCCGCCTCGCTGATAACCAATAGAATCTGAGAACAATGACTGCTGAAGCTACATCAGAAAAGCTCATGCTTCTTCCTTGTGATTTCCTGAGACACCTGTTCTGTGGTAAGCCAGCCACCATGTAAATAGTTCGACTACCCTGGGGCGCCTGGGTGGCTCCGGGGGTTCAGCGTCTGGCTTCAGTTCTGGTCATGATCTCACGGTTCATGAGTTGAAGCCCTGCATCAGTCTCTTTGCTAACAGTGTGGAGCCTGCTTGGGATTCTCTCTCTCCATCTCTCTCTCTGCCCCTTCCCTGCTCGCTCACTCTCTCTCTGCCCCTTCCCTGCTCGCTCACTCTCTCTCAAAATAAATAGATAAACTAAAAAAAAAAAATAAAAGGAAAGTTCGACTACCCTGAGACAGTCATGTGTGCAGTGGAGAGGCCACACATAGGCATCGCAGTCGGCAGCCTTGGCTCCTCTCCCAGCTGACGCCCGGCGTCAGGTCTCAGCCTTGCGGGTGAGCCATCTCAGGTACACAACCCAGTCGGACTTGCACAGCTGGAAACCCGCAAATAGAACAGGTTCCAGTCACAGCTGAGGTTCCGCCTCTCTTCCATTCCCTTGGTTCTGCCCTTTGGTTGTGAAACTTCGTCGACAAGAGGTGACTGCTGCTTGACCCATGAGCTACACCAGCATTCTGGGAGACTCCTCACCCCGCCCTGTCCTTGGAATGTCTCTCCTGTCCCCAGATGCGGCTCCAAGGGCATAGCCTTGAGATGGGGATGTGTTGAAAACACCTGCACAGTTAGGACCTGTTCACACACTTTTAAGATTTGGAAGGTGGGTGCAGAAATTTTTAGTCTTGCTAAAGTCTTGCTCAAGACAAGCCTCGTACATAAGTTCCCTTTGCTTATTAAAACAGCTACATACCAACCCAGGGTGGCCTACCTCTTTCTTGGGTTTCTCCCTGCCCTCTACGTTTGGGGGTGGGTTTCAGATTACACCCGGGAAAGTGCTAGGAAGGCTGTGAACCAACACCTTTTCTTTGTGTAGGATTCATCTTCAGGGGACACAAGATGGCTGCAGCCATGCCAGACCTTGCGTCTGCAGGGAATAACTTTCACTGGAAGAGGGGAACAGTGCTTTCCAGAAACTCTCCCCTGGAAAGTGAGAAAGAACTTCCCCAGAAGTCCTTAGCAAACCTCTCCTCTTATCTCATTGATCTATATCAGATCATATGACCCTTCCAAACCAATCATTGGCAAAGGAGACTGGGAGAGTCTCATTAAAATATTAAAATGCCAGGTACTATTAATCTATTTAAAATTTTTCATGAAAACATCGTTTTTAAAAATTAGAGATATATTAGACATACTCAGCATTGCACAGTAACGTAACTTTTCTAGAATTGTCTTTCATGTAAAAAGTTTTCATTTAATTCTAATGGACGGCGGCGCTCACTGAAATCTTTAAAGAGTAGAGACAACTCATGAACACAGTTACAAATATTTACTGAGAATGTGTTTTAAAGTTTTAATAGGAAATAGGCTTTCCTACCTTTTTTTTTAATGTTTTATTTATTTCTAGGAGAGAGAGAGAGACAGCGTGAGCAGGGGAGGGTCAGAGAGAGAGGGAGTCACAGACTGAAACAGGCTCCACTCTCTGAGCTGGCAGTCAGCACAGAGCCCGACGCGGGGCTCAAACCCACGAATTTCCTACCTTTTTTATATCTCTTGTTCCTTTCTTCATAAGACTTTGTCACCTTTCTGCAACAGAAATATAAGATGGTATGAAACTTAAATTATAATTAAATTGTTTGCTCAGCATTCACAGCATTATGCCCCATTTTCAAAATTTCGGCTGACTTTGCCATTCCCAGATGAGTTTCTTAGGTTTAGTTCCAGTCTGGACTGGATGTGGTCTCTAGTTGTACTGGGTCATTAAGAGGAACATTTTAAATGTTATTCTTCATTCTCATTTCTGTTTGGTGTCTTTGCCTACTTCAGGAAGATCAAGACTCTCCATATAAGGAGTCATGTGTGCAAATCCCTGTTTCCTGACACCCTGCCTCCAGTGTGTTCCGGGGATATTTTGACTGCT